GCATCATTCGGAGATTGATTGATTGTCTTTGTTTTTCTTGCAGATTTCACCTCCAGGTAAAGGATCATTGTACATAAGGCCATTGCTAGTAGGAACTGGAGCTGTTCTTGGTCTTGCTCATGCTCCTGATTACACTTTCCTTATCTATGTTTCAACTACTTCAAGGTTTTTTGCCTTTGTTCTGATTCAATTTTCTGTATTCGTCGTTTTTGTTTTCTGAGTCTGACATATTATTTACAGGAAGGCGTGGCACCGATCAACTTGATTGTTGAAAGTGAATTCCATCGGAGTTAAAACCATCGGTAATTATGCTGCAGTAAGCTAAAAGCCGAGTCCTTTGTTCTTAATTGTCCCCTGTTCTCAAAACCCTATGACTCAATTGGTAAACTCAATCATTTTTGTAGGTCTTGAAGGCACAGTCGATTGCAAAAGCTAAAGGCTATTCTGATGTTTTATACCTTGATTGCGTTTACAAAAGATATCTCGAGGAGGTTTCGTCTTGCAATATTCTCAATGAGATTTTGAGTGAATGTTGGTTTTGATGCCACAGTGTTAGCAGCATGGATGAGGCTCAAGTATCCTCATGGATGACATAAACATCAACTACCCAATGACAAGGGCCAAAAGATGTTATGAAAAGGACGCATCAACACGAAATCTCTCATGTAACCATGCAGGGCCTCCGAGAGCAAGGTAAGAATGAAACATACCTTCACGAGTGACACTTCTAGCAATCTCCCGAGCCACAGAATTCGCCTGTACCGACTCGGCTTCAAATGTCACAGCTTCAAAATAGGACCGCAGCTCATCAATACGCATGAGTAAGACTCTATATCGTGGCCAATTAGTTGGTTTATTCAAAGCTTTAACCACTGCTTGACAATCAAGAGCTATCGTGATATCAGAGAACCGTAAGTCCCTCAAACTTTGTAAAGCCCAGATTACACACATTAGCTCCGAAACTATCTGATTGTTTGTACACACGAAGGCATCCCGAGCGTGAAGGAGGACTGCCCCTGTGTGATCTCTTGCAACCCACGCAACACCATTATGTAAAACTGCATTTCTCCAGTTTGAATGGATATTGCATTTGATTGTACCTTGTAGTGGAGGGGACCAGCGGGTTGATCTCTCATTCATGCTATACAGATTAGAGGGAACATTTGTCATAACAGAATCTTTATCCACCCCTTCCAAAGGTTCGCTTCTTCCCTCGCTTTTTGAATCACTCTACTTAGAGCATCTTGTTTTGGAGCATACAATACCGCGTTCCGGTTCTTCCAGTTATTCCATAGAACCCACGGGATTGATTCTTTAGTTTCATTATTGAGTGAGGACGCATCCATCAAATCCAATACCAAATTCAGATTATCCTCCAAAGAGTCCCCAAAGCCAGAAACTTGGTTATGAACTTCAGCGAGATGCCACAGCTGTTGAGCAACGCTACATTGAAAGAGGACATGATTTACAGGTTTCAACCTTTTGTTGACAAAGCTTGCAGACATTATCAACTCCCAAGCCTCTGGTACGTAGTCTATCAGACACCGCTAATGCCCCAGCAACTGCACGCCAAAGGAATAAGCGAATCTTGGGTTGTGTTTGAATCTTCCATATCCGGTTTTAAATTGAATTTGGCACTTAACCAGAGCACTCTTGACAGGTAAAGGTATAGGAGGATGATTTGAAGAGAACCAATAACCGCTCTTAACAGAATACGCCCCTTCTTTTGTATAAGCCCATATGAAGCTATCCACCATTCCACCTATTTGTATATTCTCAATGCGTTTGACATCAGCAGGAGGAAAGAGATCATGTAAGACATCCATTTTCCACTTACCATTAGGAGAGATTAGCAATGCAACTTTAAGCTCAAGATCAATCGAAGATTGCTTATTTGCTTTCCATCGCCAATTGTCTTCATTAAACCCCGAGCTAACAGTTCGCGTCCATGACTGATGCTACGCCAAGCATATGAGGGGCGATACCCTTTTCCACTAGGATACTTCCAGTCCAGCTCCGGATATGAGAGCCAATCTATAACCAAATTTAGGCAAGTCACATCATCTTCTTCAATCCAGGATCCGAGCTCAGATTGCACCTGAGAGTGCAACGGAGAAAACAGCTTGTAGTTCAGGGACTCCAGCTCCGGATATGAGAGCCAATATATATCGTCAAGCTGTTCATTAAGATAAAGTTTGTAAGTTTACAAAGCAACTCCTGTCAATGAAAAGACTTAAAAATTTGGTTTAAGTTTTTTTACTTGGGTGGTCGTAACCTCAGGGGAAGAGATTTCACTAGGACATTCGCTGGAGACTGCTAGAGAAGAATCTACAATCTCAGAATTCTTCATGGGATACCTCAGACAGTTCAATATCGGACTTCATCACATCCACAACAGTTGGAGACTGGTTCGACTTCACATGACTTTGAATCTTCGGCTGCAGCATCGCTCACAACATCTTGCAAATAACACAAGTGATTGATGATATTTGCCAAGTTATTTTACCTGGCCAGACTTGGTTCCATCAAGATCCTTCTCGGTACTCGTGGATAATCCAACAAGTTTGTGTTCCCTTAGGAGCACGACCTGTGTAAAAGACCATAGTCCACTTCTTGGTGTTGCCTGATTTGACCAGGAGCCCGATTCATTCTACTTCCAGTCCAATGGACAGAAGAAGAGCCACTCTGACTCTGTTGTCTTCACCACAGAAAAATCTGCAAACACGACATCACCAGCTCTGAACTCAACTATCACAGATCAAAACAAGTTCCCAAATTCACTGATTCTACGAACCGAAATTAAATTGGTTCCCATTTGCAGATATCGACTTCACGGATTACTCTGACTTCATCATCGCGACCGTTGATCTTTAGCCACGAAGGAGTTAGTAATTTTTATAAGATTTACAACAGATAAGTTTATCTTAAGGCTATGAATTCGGAAATTAACCTAAAACCTCAACTTGTTTAATTCCGAATCAATTACTCACTCA